GTTGTGTAGCGATGAAAGGCGGGGGAGTTGTGCCAAGCAGAGGAAGCACAGAACTTCAGAAGCACAACTTAAGAAAATATATAATCATACACACTACACGGATGGAATTAGTTTCCATTCTCCTGCCAGAGCTGAGGGAAAATACAAGGTGTACTCTTCATCCTAGACACCACTTAGCATCCTTCTACCCCTGAGGCCCAGCTACAATTCCCATCCTCCTGGACCTTCAGTACGCTGACTGTGGATAATAAGAGCTGCAGTCCAAAACATGGGGAAGTCCAAAAGCTGCTCTGATCACTGGCAATCCCGCACACACATCCATGCTTCTTTACAGTACCTCTGGAAACTGGAAGCTGGTCAGTTCGACCCACTACCATTTATACAATGGGTGGACAGAAGTCCAGCGGCCGTTTGCCATCCCATCCCAACTCCTGGCCGATCCTTCCCTAATCAACAGCTCCTGCTCCTGCCACTGGTTTGCAAGCTAAACCTTGCTGAGCTTGGAAGCAAGCAAAACGTGACCTTTTTAAAGACATGGGGCCAGTTGGAGCTGAAATTCAGCAGATGCGGGAGGGGGGATTTGCTGAGCTCCCCAACACAAAGCCACTCTTCTGAATTCAGATAAAGATGCTGCTGGAGGGACACAGCAAGCCAGTTTCCCAGACGACGACGATGATGATAAAGTCTTAAGAAATAAAATCAGCAGAGAGGGACACAGGGCGCCCTGTTGGAGACCCCAAACAAGCATTGCCTTGGCCAGGCTTGTCAAGACAGCCCTATAGGAGAGGCTGGCGTTCCTTCCATGGCGTGCGTCAGGGGAAATCTAAGAGAGAAGGAGCTGCTTTGACTGGGTGGCCGAGGCGAAACCGGAAGGGAGGACCGCTCGGCTCGTTCTCTTACGTGCAACGCTCTCCCGGCTTCCGCCTCCCCCAGCCCATCTTCCACACACATGCGCACGCGCACGTGCCAGCATTCCTCAGAGGAGGCACGCCTGGGCTTGAGAGTGCCCACACCTGGCCGTCCTCCTGCTCCTGGCAGCTGTGCCCGGGTGTTGTCGGCCCTGCCGGGCAGGCCCGCACACCCACAGCTCCGCCCTCGCACGCTCGAGCCAGCCGCCCCTGCCTAATGGGAGGCACGGCCTCGTGCCAAGGAAGATGACAGCACTGCAGCGGGGCCTCCCCAAGCCTCCCCCGATGGCCCCCGTCTCCGCAGGGCTCTTGCTCTGCACAGATGTCCCCGTCGGCCCTTTCCTCAAGCCCCCGCCCCACCCCGCCCCGCCATGGCTCCTATTTCCAGGCTGGGGAGCTTCTCCTTCTGGGAAGAGCTCAGGCCGACTCCAGCACGGGGTCGGGGTCAGGCAGTCTCCCCGCATCCTTCTGGCCGAGCGCAGGCCTCTGCCCCCTCCTCCAGGGCCTGTGGAGAAGCGGAAAGGGAGAGGCGGCGCCTGCCATCTGAGCTGCTTATGAGGCAGGAGGGGTCTGTCCAGCCCGCCCTTCCCATGCCCCCCCAGGCATTTTGCGCCTCTTTGGGCTGCCCCAGGAGGCTTCTGGGAGACGCCAGAGTCTCTCAGGCACACTGAAGGCCCCCGTGTGTGGTGGCGGCCCTCCGCGGTTCCCCACGGAACAGGCACGCAGGGGAGGGATTCTGGGGTGGCCGCTGCCCCTTGCCCCAGCGCCTCAGCCAAAAGGGGACCAAAGCGCTCGGGGGGTCTAAAACGTGCCATTGGCAGCCGGTCGGAATGGATGAGACCCTGGAGGAGAGCCCTCCGAACCGAAGTGCAGTGGGGCACGAGTCAGGGAGCTGGGCAACCCTCCTTTGCTCTCCAGGGCCTATCTGGTGGCAGGTGACCATCCTGCGGGTTTTGGACAGTCCTCTAAAACAGGGCACGCACCATCGTAAGCGAGGAAGGCCCACCTCTCCCAGTTTCTGCCTGCCTCTCTCAGAGCCGAACAGTCAGCTGCAGTCAGGGGAGGCAGAGATGCGGGTCCAGGTGGACACGGCGGGAGGGTGTAGGCGTCTTCCGGAGTTCCTTTGTCCCCACCAGCACTCTTTCGGACTTTGGAGAAATGCTGCCAAGTGCACATGGCCACACCCCATCCTTCCTTCCCAAAGAGTATTAATAGATCCCCCCCCCATTCCCAAGCATGGAAAAAGTCAGCCCAAATTTGGGCCTTACTTAGAACAAGATCATACATTTGTTTCCAAGGCGAGAAATGGTGGAAGGAACAGTGAACGAACCGGGAACCCTTTTGACGCAAGTATCAGCTGCATCCGTACAAGGTGCTCTGGCAGGAGGCACAGCCGTTTCGTCACAAAGCAACGCCCGGCCTGAACGCTTCCACTTGGGAAGGCTGGCAGTCACCCCCTCGCAAGGTTCTCGGATCAACAAGTGGCACAAAACGTGAAATCTTTGAACCCTCTGAAACAATTTCACCAGGCGAGAAATTACCAGTTGGTCACCAGCCGATCGGCAAAATGAACGTCCTGGCTCGCTCCTGGACCTTAATGCCAAAGCATGAAATGTCGAAACTCCCATCCCTTCGGGGAGAAGCCTGGTCGTCAGTCTAGAGGTTGGGCCCATTAAATCCCTGCAGCGAAACAAGAGATTTTTGTGCTTCTGCAAAGTTGAACACATTCATTTTGGCATAAGCTTTCGTGGACTGCAGCGCATTTCATCACAGAGTTATCCTGAGATACAGGAATAGATATACACATAGTTGGAAGTGGCAATTGGGATCAGAAATGCAAAACGGCAAAATGCTAAAAAAAATGGCAAAAATGCAAAAAATGGGCAAAACGCATAATGGAATGATTGAAAACCGTGCTGCTAGCACAGGCCAGCGGCAAATACAGAAACATAGCCCAGTGAACGTGTATTGCCTGATTTAAAACAAAGCAAAGCAAAACAAGGAGGAAGAAAGAAGTCTTTCTCCTCATTCAGTCCTCTGCAGACACAGGATTTTTCAAGAGCTTCAGTTCCATCTCCGGAGGGATAAAGGTGTTTAAAAACAAGCGTATAAATCAACCGTACTGCGTATGACTGACTGGTTGACCCAGAGATGGGTTTTTCAGTTGTCAGCAAACAGGTATTTCTGATAATGTGGTTATCGCTTAGTACTTTCTTTGTGCCTTTCCCCCCAAACCCCCCACCCCACCCATCATCCTTGAACACAGATCTCAAAGTCAGAGGGACCCTTCGCACTTCCAGACTGGGCCACAAAGGGGGGAGCCGTCACAAAGGTCTCACAGGCCTCTTCGTTGCACTGGCTGCAGCTTACTTTGCTTTTAAAGGTCCAGGAGTCACTTCGAATGTTCCCAGTCCCATGGCAGCATGAGTGCAAGGAAACATACCTGGTTATTCCTTGGAAAAGACCGGGGAGGCAGCGAATGTGTTAAAAGGGGTGTGGGATCCCTTGGAAGGAAGTGAGGCAGGATGCTGTGACTAATGAACTGTGCAGGAAGGAATTGCTCTAATTAGCACTTTATGAATCTTTCCAGTGCTGTGGTCCCAGCAGAGCCATGTGGAAGATGGAAAATCTGGAACACTTGGGTCAGAAGGCTCTGCATGGCTGCCCATGGTTGGTCTCCAGAGGAACATCTCTGGCTTCGAAGAATTCACACCTAGTTCCACTTCACTTCCAAGCCCAGGAGGACTTCATGGAGCCCAGAAGCGAGGCACACATGTGAGCATCCCTGGAGGGCGGGTGGTGGGGGGGATACACTTGAAAGAAAAAGCAGAAGAGGGCCCTGCCAAAGGGGAGCTGTCCATTGTTTCAGTCCTCCTACCCACTGATCAGGCAGGCGTCCTAGGGCTGGACAGTTGTGGGAACCCACAATACAGGAGAAGTTCCCCCTTAGCCTGCTCTATTCCACCCATTATATACACTCACAATACCAGGCTGTCTCCGACTTTCCTAAATATCCTTCAGCAGGTTGAATGTTGGTGAACATTCCTCGACATCACATCAACTCAGCCAATCAGGTAATGAAGACGTGGCCACATGGTATCTCGGTGCGTTCCAGTGTGGTTCAAGGCACACACCAGGGCCTGGCATCTCTGCAAACCGCAGGCAGGATGCCGCAAGAAGGCAGCTAGGAGGACAACAGTGCACAGAAGGCAGGCCAAGGTTTGCCTGCAGGCTGCTGGGTGGCTTTTGCAAGAGGGGTAAGACGGACTGGCGAACGAGATCCGATTGCTCTTTCCAGCAATCATCAGCTTGGAGACAATGCTTCTTTTCCCCATAATCCACCTGAGAATGTTACCCAAAGTTATAGCGCTGTTTACATGGGACTTCCGGTAATACTGGGAATTGGGCAATACCAGTCTCTTCCCCAGAAGGCTTCAGGTGCACAGGGAAGGGCTGTTGTGGTAGAAGCAAAAACTCAAGGGGAAAAAAAGAGGCCTCGTTCTGCCCGTTGTGCCTAAAAACATTTGATTCACCCTGAATTTCTATTTTTGCCTCTTGGATGAATTCCACTGGCACTCAGGCCTCCAATTCTCCTATTTTGAAGCAAACTGGTTCCACTTCACTTCACTTCAGGGAAGACCAGTTCACACAGGTTAACTTCCCACTCCTGTAACCACTGAAAGATTGCTAACCTGCACTCTTAGCTTTTAAAATTGAATACGCTGCCGTGGGCCACGAGGAGAGCAGATCAAAAAGCACGGTGGCTAACAAGAGCGAGAGCGTTAGCCCAGCCCGAATCACACTGCCCACCCTGCGGGAGAGAACAATCAAGTCAAAATAAACAGCTCCACTTGCGTTCTCAGCTGACATTTCCTTCCCTGGAGGAAGGAAGGCCGAGTGTCTCCAAAGTCAATACCAAAAGCATCGGGAAGGTCAGCCAGGGAGAGGGGCTACCTCGAAAGTGCTGAAGGAGACCTGCCCCACCCAAGCGAGGCTGTGGGTCTGATCTTCAGGGACAAGGGGGTTGTGCGAAGGCGGCACAACGGCCCACCAGGAGATGGATGAAGAAAGACGCAACGCAGGAGCCGAACGGAGGTTACAAGACTTTTAATGGCTAATGTACAGTGTAACCCGGGGAAGGGCAGCAGGCATCACACATCTGAGGGCAACCTGGAGCTATGGCACCGGGGGCGGGGGGAACTCGGGGGACGGCCTGGGTGCCCCGCTCCCGAATCCTGAGCCACTTGGTCTGCAGGGAACATAAATCAGGAGGTGGAGCTTTGCACAGCTTTGGTTTGCACAGAACAACACAGAATGTGGGTTGTTGCCTTACCTGGTTGATCCATGGTTTGTTTGCCAGACCACTGCAAAAGCAGCGGGGGGGGGGTTCCCCCAATTCCTGGGTTCTCAAGTCTTTCCTGTTTCCCTCCTTCCCCCCATCCCTGTACCTCAAATGTCTTTCTGGATTTGTAGTACTGGCATGTACAGCCACTGTGAGGTTTTATCACTTTTGCCCGCCAGCTCTGTACCCTCACAAAACAACCCATGAACAACCTCTCATTCTGAGTTCACATGTAAGGACAACCATGGTTCAAGCAACCCAGGGTTCACAACCCATCCATAAAACATTGGCTCTCTTCCTGAACTGTCCTGTTCACTCATCCTTCTTTCCAGGTTTGCCTGTCGTGACAACAGCAGGCTCCAACCACCCCTATGGGGCCCATGCTTGGGTTGCCACTGCTTGCAAACCAGGCCTTAGAACCACAACCGAAGAGGTCTTGGAGACCCCCTCGTTCAACCCCCTGCTCAGTGCAGGCAATTAGCACTATCCCTCCAGCAAGAAAAGGAGCTTTAAAGCAGCAGATCAAGCTCCCGTGATCCATGGAGCAACAGGGCCATTGCTGTGTTTGTTTGGGTTTTTTTAAAGTGGGCAACCCTAAACATAAAAACAGGTAGGGTGAAAAGGCAGGGGAAGGGCAAGCTTTAAAGGGGAGGTTTTGGTCAGTGGGGTGTGCAACACAAACACAACTCCATCCCTTGTTAGGAAAAGGAGAGCCACCGGATGGGAGGGAGTCCAGGTGTTTTCCCAGCTGCCGTTCAAGGAGGAAATGGGAGCATCTGTCCCTGTGAAAATGCTTCTTTTAAAGAACTTTGTGATCAGTGTAGCCCCAGATATTGCTCAGCACCTCCCCGGGTCTCCCCGCTGCCATAGCTCCAGTCTTGGCCTATTCTCTAGGATGCACCACCATTAAATATACTACACCTTTAAAAAAAGATAGCCCCAACTCCCCCCAAAAGCCAGTGTCTTGACCAGACAGTGCAAGAGAGAAAGATGCAGACACACACGAGGACCGGGGGCGGGGGGAAGACTACAAACCCCAGCAGGCCTATCTCGGACAGACAAAAATGCCATATAAAAACAATACATTTCAAGGAAGGGAAGCACAATGCTGGAAGCGCAAGATCAGGCCATCCCTGAAGGTCGGGGGGGGGGTCTCCATGCGCAGAGGCGGACGTCATCGTGGGAGCAGCAGCGAGCGAGGGGCCGCAACTGGCACGGATGAGCTGCTGCGGGAAACGATGAGGTGTTTGGGGTGGCTTCTTTGTTCCCCAGCTGGTGGCGGGAGGGAGGGCGGGAGGGATACCGTTGCAGCTGAGCCTGTCTTGAAGTCCCGGTCCCTGAACCCCCGAAGTTATGGGGGCTCCCATGGTGACGAATATCAAGGGAAGCCTATGTGGGGAAAGCAGCTTTCTTCACAAGCTGGCCAGGGAGAGATGCAGAACTTAATACAGGGCAGGTCATGAGCCGAGCCAGCTGGAGCCAGGGGTCAGACTAGATGGCCCAGGAGGCCCCTCTGACGTGCTCAGTTTCTTTGCTAATCCAGGTGTGAACCCTGCACTGAAATCGTCGGCTTGTGCTCATGGCACATGGGTGCCAGACGGAAAGATGCGTGGGTGTTTAAGGGCTGCTAACAGGACTAGGGGAGAACATACCCCACCGGCCTGGCCCAGTCCTGCACCTTGCACAGAGCATTACGCTGCAGAAGCCGGCCGTGGAAGCGTGTTGCACCAGACGGCAATGGCGCTCCTGCGTCTTCCGTGTGGCAGATCAAACAGCCACACAAGGGGCCGTCTGAGGGGCCCAGTCAAGAGCTGGCAGCCCCAGTAGGTTGGGGGGCACGTGTGGAAAAATGGGGGGGGGGGGAGCCGTGAACACGGATCTGCGTACTCAGTGGAAAGGCAGGTGGCCGGCAGGTGTTTGGAGGATGCTAGGTGTGCATGCATACATGACTGTTTAGCAGCATGGGTGTACACACAGGTATCTGGACGGGACGTGTTCACACACGCATGCTACTGCGCACATGCAAGAAGGAGGGCCCCACGGTCACGCTGCCACAGCAGGCGACTCGGCGTGAAAAAGCAGCGCCTGGTGCGTGGCCACCGAGAGCACCGTGGTGCGCGTTTTGTGCTGTGCATGCAGAAGTTGTGCGTGCATACAGAAGCACGGGTGCACAGGTCTCATCACAGGAGTGCCAACAACACACACTTGCCCAGGGGCAAGCTGGAACTGCCCCCGAGTGACCAGGTTGGGAGGACTTACAAAAATAACCTCCCTTTTAATCACAAGTGAGCTGGCGGAGAGGCGGTAGAAAGAGCAACATAACAGAAAAGGGTGGAGCCAGTGGCACGGGCGGATTTGCTTCTAGGGCTGTGTTTTCATGCTACTGGCCGAAGTGCTTGCGTGGGTTAGTCCATGTTCACAGGTAGGCAACAGGTACGCAGGTGTTGGCAGGTGTGAGGATATGTGAGAGGAGGAAGGGGCTCCTACTGAACCCTAATGACTTAGCTTTGGAATCTCCCCGAACAGACTCGACGCATGCATGTGTGATGCGCAGAGACCGCGAAGAACCGGTGCACTGATGTACGTCCACTTGTATCGGAAGGGCCTGGGCATACGTCAGTTTTTCTTGAAAACACAACACAAAATCAGGCGTTCTTGAGGAGGAGGAAAAAGTGGCAGTACAGACAACCCTTGCGTCTCCCACAGCAGAAGTCTAGAGGAACGGATGAGTCCTGCCCCTCGCGGAAGGGAGGGCCTGAAGAACCGCCGTCCCGTCGCACAGTCCCGGCAGGGCACCCTCTTCGTCCGTGGCAGGCGGTGCAGAGCAGGCGGGGGTTCCTCTGGAACGGGACCACTCTGGGCTCGACTCTCAGCAGTGCTGGGGAGAGGCCAAGAGCCGAGAGGCACTCGTCAGCGCTTCAGCCATCCTCTCTGACGGCGCGAGGAGCCCCAGGGACTTCGTTTGCACCGACAGCTGCCAGCCAAAGGAGGAGCCCCTCCCGCCAACCCCACAGCCCCGCAGGGATGGTGGCTGCCCCTTCCCCACGCACCTCATTTGTCCCGCCACCGGCCCCCCCGGGGCTCAGCAGCCCCGTCTGCTCATTCCGCTTGTCTGTCTTCATCTCCACCACCGTGTCCTCCGGGTTCCCTTCCTTGGGAGTCCTGGCGGGAGAAGGAAACTGGCGCTGAGCACCCATTCCAGCTGCGCCGCTCGGGAGTGCTCCTCGATCCGGAGCTGTCCCTGGGATCCCGGGTGGCAGCGGTGGCGAGCGGCGCCTTCCTCCAGCTTCGGCCGGTCCACCAGCTGCGCCCTTAGCGGGCTGAGCGCTGCCTTGCAACAGCGGAAGGAGCCCAGGCAGGCACCCAGCGCACAAGCAGGGCCCGAATGCCAGGACCGCCCCCCCCCTTTCCGCCCCCTGGAGGAAGTCTCTGTGGGGGAAGGCCTGCTGCAGACTGGCCGGTGGGCCGGCGGCACTCACAAGGATCTCTTCTCGCCCCCGCCGCAGGGCAGCTGGCCACGGCGTTGCATGAAGTAGAAGAAGGCCACGATGAGGAGCAGCAGCAGGACACAGACGCACACGGCGATGACGGCCACCGTGCTGCCGCCCTGGCTCTCGTCGCTGTCCACTGGCGGGAGAAAGACACGTCACGGGGTCCTGAATGACTCCGCCCCAGGATGCTGGGCTGACCACCTTCCCCACACTTCACCCAGCCGAAGATGCTGCTCCCGGGAGCTTCTGAAAAGGCCGTCTGCTCATTCCAACGGACAACTGGCCAGTGAGCAACGGCCAAAGGAGCGCCGGCAGGCAGCAATACCTTCCCCGTGGTGGGCCCTGCCCTTCGGGGCACTTCTCCCGTGAGCGGTTTGAGAGCGGCACATTCTGATGCCTCTTAAAGCAGCAGCAACTCACACAAGCCTTCCCTGATCGGTAAGGGACCCTGATGACTACTTTATAACTGTACATGATTTTTAAACATCTGAATTTTTATGTATTCAATATTTTCATCGGGCTTCCATACGCGTATATGTTAATGCAGACTGTGTGTGTTACAGACAGAGTTCCTACAGCTGCAGGGTAAGACCAGCTTGAAACGTTACCTCCCACCCCACTCTAAAAGATGCCACATCTTCTGTGAGTCTGCAAACTTGCTTGCCTATTTATTTACTTATTATCTACAGGAAGTAGAATAAGAACCGCATTTCCAATGCGAGTTACTGTCTTCCCACTCCCAGTCCACATACAACAACCCTCAATGGCCTCGATGCCACATATGGTGGCGAAACGAGAGCCTGCAGAAGGCGTCAGTTTGCATTTCTCTCAACTCCCCCCAGCCCCACTTTCCTTTCCATGGGGGTGGGGGGCAGCCAGGGCGTGTGTGCTGGAAACAGGCACAAGCCAAAGCCAAGATGTCCCCGCTAAACCACCCACCTGTCCGGAGCTCGGGGTTTCCTATGGCAGCATGCAGGCAAGGAGAAAGCTGTTAGTGGGTGCCAGCACCACTGGCCTGTCCTGAGCCACGGGGCCCTCGCCAGCCCCGCTCACCCGCCGTGTTGGCAGCACCATATTAGCACACAGGAAGAAAAGGGGGCGCTTACCTGCTGGCACTGGGGGAGCAGATGCTGTTGGGGAAACTACAGGGAGAGACGGGCCCATTAGCAAAGGATCACGGCAGACGCTTCCCAAGAACTCCCCGCCCCATTCCCAGCCCGCCTTTGCCCATCAAAGAAGCAGAGGACTGCCGGGGCTGCGTGTTTCCCATCACTCCGGAACGGCACGGCAAGCCGGTGCCTGAATTACAGGAGAGGAGGTGCGCCCCTTTGGTGACGGTCCCTTCACCGAGACTCGTCATTCGAAAGGGTTAGAGAACTGAAAGATAAAACCACCTTGGAAGATTCCCTTTTGCGTGTGTGGCTGCAGAGAGCAGGTGAAGGGGAACCTCGGAAGCAGAGGAACAGGGAAGGAGGTGGGTGGGGCTGAGCACTGTTTGCAGGGTGTAGCACCCCATCCCAGGCCTAACCAAGACGGGAAAGCTCACGCACGGGGCTTCCTTGCGCGGTGGACTCCAACAGAAATGACCCACGGTCAGCAAAGGCGCCCAGACGATCAGAAAAGTGCCAGCTGGAACAACGGGGCTGCTATTTTGTGCAGGATTCACACAGCCAGGACAAAGTCTAGGATGGGGTGTGACTTTTCCGGTCTCCACCTCCTTTCCCTAACCACCAACCATTGTGTGGTGTCCCAGGTGTAGTGCAGCTCACCCCACATTCCGAAGGGCTGAAATGCCTCTCCGAACATTGCGCTTAAAAACACTGACCATGATTAGGATTCCTGGCCGTGCCCACGGCTGGAATGTGTGCCCGGGCAGGCCCTCGAAACAGAATTCAGCCCTTGGGCCAAAAGGGATTCTGCAGCCCAAATCCTCACCCCAACCTGCCAGATTAGCCGACACGGTCAGACCAGAAAACATGGGAAGCCGATTCAGGCCCCCTCAGAAATGATGTGCTGGAAACACCTTGGGAAGCCACATGAAGCGGAACAAGGGTAAACACACGGTCGGTTCTGGGCCAGCCCAGCCAGCAGCACAGCGGGCCAAGCGAGCCATCTGCCACAAATTCAAGCCCCAGGCAAGGATCCTGTGGCTGCTGGGTCCCCCCGCCACAGGCAGCTGTGTGTGCAGCTCCTTTCCTGATGATGCCAAACGTGGGGGTCGTCCTTTTCGCAGGAGCTGCAGACCGGCTCATCCCCACCACAAGCTCACATGCCCGCTCTTGGTTGCTGCGAGCACAGATCCCATCAGCTGCCCCCGTGTCCGGTGGGCAATGTCATGTGAGGGTGCCCGGCGAAGCCCTGCATCTCCTGCTGCCCTTCCCCTGAAAATCCTTGCAGGTTCCCCATCCCTTCCCCTGCTGTCAATAGTTGCTGATCGACTGTGTGAATGCCAGCGCAGAGCGGGGAAGACCACCTTTCAGAAGGGTGAAACCCCTCGCCCCTGCATACACGGTCCCAGCCTTCACGCACGCAACCCCCCGCAGCCGGCCACTTTTCAAAAAGTCAGGGCACTGCAGAGCAATCATGAAATGGCTGTCGCTTCAGGTTTGGCCTTGCAGTGCTGTTTGGCCCTGGGCTTTTCTACAAATCAGCTGTGAAGAAAGCAAAGCAGAAATCTGCAGCGTTCACCCATAAGAGCAAGAGGTGGAAGGGTCCCGCGCTGCTTGCTGCAGAGGCACTCACCAGTTTCGAGCCGGAAAGTCTGCTCAGCCAGGCCGTAACTGTTCTCTGCCCGGCACTTGACGCCGTTCTGGGCCAGCTCAGGGGTCACCTCCAAGGAGAGTTCGGCAGTGACTTTGTTCGCGGAGTGTCTCAGAGACTGGCGGGAGAAGCAAAGGGGGACGAGTCGCGTGAACTGATTCATCTTCTCCACCCAGTTCAGTTCTGCCTCCTCCCGTCCTGCCTAGCTTGGGGGGGGGGCACACGGCCAGAATCCAGCATAAGGAATCTCCATGTGGGAGTTGCATCGTGACCACTAACGATCAAGACTACAGATATGACATAGTGGGTGAATACTTGCAGCCGGTCTGGGTGCCATTTTTGACCCCCTCTGAATTTCTTTTAAAAAAATCTGGAAAATGTAGAAGCGACCCCACAATGGAGCACTTTGTTGTTATGATTGGTCGTGAAGTCGCGTCCGACCCATCGTGACCCCATGGACGACATTCCTCCAGGCCTTCCTGTCCTCCACCGTCCCCCAGAGTCCACCCAAGCCCACACCCACTGCCCCAATGACCCCATCCAGCCACCTCATCCTCTGCCGTCCCCTTCTTCTTTTGCCATCTATTGTTCCCAGCATTAGGCTCTTCTCCAGGGAGTCCTTCCTTTTCATTAGGTGGCCAAAGTATTTGAGCTTCATCTTCAGGATCTGGCCTTCTAAGGAGCAGTCAGGGTTGATCTCTAGGACTGACCGGTCTGACCGCCTTGTGGTCCAAGGGACTCGCAGGAGTCTCTGCCAGCACCACAATTCAAAGACCTCAATCCTTCGGCGCTCAGCCTTCCTTATGGTCCAGCTTTCACAGCCATACATTGCAACTGGGAAAACCATCGCCTTGACTATACGCACTTTTGCCAGGAGGGTGTTGTCTCTGCTTTTTAGTATGCTGTCTAGTATGCGGTTTAGAGCACTAGGGAGTGCTCAAATAGTTAAAGAAATTGTTTGCAAGCTGCGTTTAACCCTTTCAATGTCCTGCAGTAGCCATGGCAAGCTGAAAGGGTTAAGCAACAGTTATCTGTCAGATTGTATGCATTTACTGTGTTTTATTGTATGCCTCTTTAATTGCATGGCTTTTTAATCGTTATATATTTGTTCTGGACTGCACACTGTAGCGAGATCCCTGGAGGGCTACAGGAGAAGTATATAGATGTAACAATCATAGCCAAGGCAAACAAGCTAAATTTGACACAAGCTAAATTTGATAAATAGAGCTCTGTAGCACTACGGATATTTTTTTCTTTAAAGAAATGGCCACTGCCAAATTCAGCAGCACCCAGGGACTGTCCTGGTGTTGCCCGCACCAGCTTACACGCTGAGCCGGGCACTCAGTTTGTGCTTCCCCCCTGCAAGGCCTTCCGTGTCTTACACCTCCGCACTCTGGGGCAAACGCAGGGCTGAGGTGCTGTGTTTATCTCATAGCACTTGCTTCACACCCGAGAAAAATATCATCTCTGAGCCACCTGAGGGAGGTTTCTTAAAACGGGTCTCTTGTGCAGGAAGAGATACAGCTGATGGGGGAGGCCATGCAGCCTTGGAAGGATTTAAGAGTGCATTTCCTTTAAGGATTTAATAAGCTGTTGGTAGGGCACCAGAGGGAGAGAACAGAAGGCAGCCTTTGAGAGCGGAGCGTGGGGAAGGGCGAGGGCGAGGGCTTCTTCCTTTTCAACAGGCACCCAGATCTTCCAAGGGGCGGGCGGATGCCCTCATAGCCCAGAGCACAGGCTTGCCCAACCTGGTGCCCTCTGGGTGCGCTGGCCATGCTGGCCAGGAGTGACGGGAGCTGCAGGTCAGAGCCCGGGGGGGGGGGCAGAGGGGGAGTCCAGCCCTCTCCCCCGGAGACGCCTCAGCCCTTCCGTATGAATGGATGCTCTGGGGGGGGGCGGTGTCACAGATCGGGGGAAGTGGGTGAAGCCCGGCAAAGAGGAGCAGCCCGTTCCAGCGTGTCCGTCCGTCGTGACACGCGCGTTTTCTTGCCCTCCCACTCTTCCCCCTTCCTACCCTTCATCTCAAGGCACGGAGAGACCACCCAGCAAGACACCTCCCCTCTCTGTCTCCTTCGCCCAACAGCTTGAAAGCAGCTGGGGATGCGAAGTGCAAGGGAGGCGGAGGGAGGAGAGCACCTCAAGTCAGCCGCCTGCACAGCTTCTTCTTCCGAGGAAGCCTTTGGACAGTGGCTTGTCCGCGGAGGATGCCCCTGCGAGCCCGCGCTGGGCGGCGGCAGACACAGCGAGTATGTCATGGGCTTCAGTGTGGCCCAGGGAAGCGGAGAATTGCCGTCTCCAGGGCACCACGTCGGGGAATCGAAGGCAAAGGGCTGGCCTGGCCTATCTCGTCTCCCGGTGAGCTGCCCCTTTTATGCTGCAACCCCATGTAAAGAAGGGCCCGATTATTTTCCTGGGCTCCAAGATCACCACAGACGGGGACTGCAGCCAAGAAATTAAAAGACGCTTGCTACTGGGGAGGCAAGCTATTGCAAATCTAAATGGCATACTGAAAAGCAGAGACATCGCCCTGCCAGCAAAAGTGCATATAGTCAAGGCGATGGTTTTCCCAGTTGCAATGTATGGCTGTGAAAGCTGGGCCATAAGGAAGGCTGAGCGCCGAAGAATTGAGGGCTTTGGATTGTGGTGCTGGCGGAGACTCCTGCGAGTCCCTTGGACTGCAAGGCGATCAAACCGGTCAGTCCTAGAGGAGATCAACCCTGACTGCTCTTTAGAAGGCCAGATGCTGAAGGTGAAACTGAAATACTTTGGCCACCTAACGAGAAGGAAGGACTCCCTGGAGAAGAGCCTAATGCTGGGAACAATAGATGGCAAAAGAAGAAGGGGACGGCAGAGGATGAGGTGGCTGGATGGAGTCACTGGGCCAGTGGGTGTGGGCTTGGGTGGACTCTGGGGGACGGTGGAGTACAGGAAGGCCTGGAGGAATGTCGTCCATGGGGTCGCGATGGGTCGGAAGCGACTTCGCAATGAAACAACAAACCCTTCTCTGGGCCTTCAAGAGGGAGGATTTCTACGGAGAAGCGGCAGTAGCAGGGACTGAACCTTCCCGCTCCCAGTGGCTTTTCCTGCACCCAGCCACGCCTGCCCCTGCTGGTGGAAAGTCCCTGGCCGGGGCTGGACCGAGCAGGGGGGAAACCGAGATGGAACGGTGCAGAAAGCCAAGCTCCAAGGCAGGAGCAGGGCCTGAGAGGCTGCAGCCACAACCCAGGAGTGCCGCCAGCGGAAGGACGTGTGGGAGCAAACTGCTCGGACCGGAGAGCCGGTGGAGCTGGGAGGGCTTTGCAGGGCTGGTGTGTTGCAACGGGCCCGGGGAGGCCCCTGGCGCTCTTTCCCCTCCGCTTGAGAGAAAAGGGGGCAGCAGACGGTGGGCAAGAGAAAAGGGCGGGCTGCCCACCCTGCCCCTGGAGCACCCACTGCTGGCTTGGGCCTCAGCCCTCCACCAGCAGCTCCAGTCTTGCTCACCCCCAGTGCGCAGTTTCCGAGGAAAAGCCACCCTTAACACAGAAAGGTGCAACCCTTCCCGGCCCCTCAGGCCTCGCCTGGGCATCTTCCCACAGACTCAGAGCTCTGGCAGGACATGAGGTGAGGGGGCCCCGGTCTGAAGCCCCCCGGCACAGCGCAGGGCGAGAACAAAGCAACTGGCGGGGGAGGGTGAAGTGCTCCCTTTTGCCCAGTGATGCAAAGCACCTACTTGGGAGGGCGCTTTGCCGTGGAGCAGGGGCTTTGGGCTGCCTGTGCGTGCATGGCTGAGGCAAAATGGGCTCCAGGATGGAGCGAACCCTCGCCCAGCCAGGCAAGTGTTCTGCAGGGAAGGAGGCCCGAGGAATACCGCCCCACGGCCCTGACGGACTGCCCTTGGTCTCCCTCGCCAGCCTCCTGCCCTTACCTCCTGCCCAGGTGCGCTCCATTTAATCTGCGGCTGAGGATGGCCGGAGGCTGAGCAGGTGAGCACCACCGTCTGGCCCAGGCTGTGGTAAAGGGTCGTGGACTGGCGCTGCTCCATCTCCGGCCTCCCTGTTCAGAGGAGGAAGTCAAGAAGTTACAGCCGGGACCACGGGCATCTCGTACCCAAGCGAAATTGGACACGGTCTCTCTTTTCACCAACACGGAAGGGCGGCAAACAGCTATTCCGCCTGCTGTGATTGTCCTTCCAACCGCAAGGGAGAAGCGCTTGGGCCCACTGGGCCAAAATGACCGGGCCAGCCCGTGTGCTTGAGGAACCGGGGTGTCTTGCTGCCCGCGGCAAGCTGCCCGAACTGCCCCACAGGCAGGCGGGGAGCCCCTTCCCGGCCCCCCCGCCGCCCAGCAGCTTGGTCCTCTGCAGCCCCCCTGCGCCCACCGATGTCTCCCCCTCACCTTCCACAATGAGCTGGACCGACTCCTCCCGCTGCAGGCCTGGGATGCCCGGCACAGAGGCCTTGCAGGTGTACATGCCGGCCATGTGGTAGGCGAGTGGAGGCAGGACCAGGGTCTCCCCGTCGCCCACCGGCTTGTTGTCCTGCCGGAGAAGGGAAACACGAAGTCAGAGGGGTGCTCTTGCCCGGACACGCTGCCTTCGCAAAGGGGAGACGTCAGATCTCTAAAACGAAGCACTTCAGCGAGGAGCGCTTGCTCTGTGCCTGGTGGTCCATCGTCGATGCAAGGAGAAAGGTCGTATGTTAAAACGGGCTCATGGTTCTGCTCTGGCTTCCGCAAAAGCACGTGTTGAAAGGCCCCGGGAGTCCGAGTGCGGCATCCCTTTCCTCTGCGAGAGTATGGCGCCACCCCGATGACCGTCGGTGGTCCAGAAACGCAACCTCTTTGCTGCAGCGAGAGAGCTCTCCTCCACCGGCCGCCACCGCAGAAGCAGGGGATGCGCAGGGAGCCCTGGCCGAGCTAGCTGCCTGCCGCACTCAGACACAGAAGTAGTTGGAAATCTGCTCCTCTGGGAGAGAAACCTAAGGTTTTCTTTGGTTTCCTCTGCACGTCAAGTACAGTTCCAGCTTTGGTATCTTTTTAAAGTTAGCAACTGGAACGGTGGTCTAATGACGAGAGAGAGAAGGGGGGCGGGGGGGGGGGAAAAGGCAAAGCAAAAATGCCACTGTGCCCTGCCAGGGAGATCTGTGAAATTTCTCCTTTGCTGCAAAGCAAGGCTGTGGGGTCCAAATGCAGCGACGTTTCAAAGGGACCGTGATGGCGGCTTCCTTTTGGGATTAAAAATCGGAGGCCCCATTCTGTGTCACTCTTACAACAGGAGTGACCCACCCTGGCAGAGTAGGGCTGCCCATCACCAGGATTTCTGCACAGGTCAGAAGGCTGGAGATGCCTCCTCACGTCCAAGGGGCACGCGCAGAGCGCCAATTCATGCAGAGTTGCAGCAGGCAGCCTCCTCTGAGGGCTTGTAAAGCCTTGCTGCGTCTCTGCCTTGCAACCAAGGACGCGCTGCATCGGCCAGTGGGTGATCCATAACCGAACACCTCCTTTTAAAAAATGCAGCTGCAGACAGAGTCTGGCTCCAGTTGGGGCCACAGTCCTGAGGTGGGGATAATGTACTCTCTCCCCCCACATTTCCCCAGTTAAAACCGCAGTGTCCTGCCGTCCCATCCTCCACAGCCCTCTCAGCAAGGCTATCTGAACCAAAGGACACAACGCAGGATCAGGGAGTCGGAAGGAGTCTCAGAGATCATCCAGACCAACCCGCTGCCCACTGCAAGATCTGCTGTGCAGGATGGAACTGCAGCATCCCTCACAGACCCTCCTGCTTCAACGCAAACTGCTTCCCGCAACTGCCGCCTGCAGGTCCTCCCCCTTCCCGCTGGAGCATGAATCCACTCCTTCTTTTAAGTGACCTCCAGGCGCCCACCTTGGGGGAAGGGCCGCACTCGGGCGTGGGGCAGCCGCTCCGCATCCGAGCAGGGCCAGGTGCTGCCCCAGGAGGTGGAGGACGAGTGGCCTGCAGTTGCGAAGAACCGCTGCCAGTCAGAGCAGTAAATACGGGGCTGGAGGAAGACACAGCCTGGCCTACTGCGAGGCCACTTCTGATGCACGGGGGAGAGTGGAGAGTGGGCCGTGCCCCCAGGGTGCGTGTCCCTCCCGGGTCGAGGGGCTCGCTGCCCGGCCAGCACTCCACCCACCTTCCACCACGACAGCGTGGGCGTCCGGGAGCCGGTCCCCGCGCAGGCCAGTTCCAGCTCCGTGCTCAAGTTGGCCGCCACCGTTTTGTTCGGGCTCACGACCAGCGGATCCAGATCTGGGGGGAGACGGAGGAGGTGGCGGCAAGGAGGAGAGAGGGGTGGGTGACGCTCAATCTGCGGCGGTCCCCCTCGGCCCAAAGAGCGCTCCCGGCCTCCCTGCCAGCCGCCAGCGGCACTCACAGTTCACGGAGATGTTCACCTCCTGCTCCAGGTCCACCTCTTCGGGGCTGTCGAAGTCGAGCACTTGGCACCGGTATATGCCACTGTCCGCCTTGGTGACCTGAGGGAGCCGCAAGGCTCCGGAGGAGTTGGAGCCCAGGTCCAGCTCGACTCCCATCGTCTGGTTCTGTGTGGGGGGAGGAAGCAGGCATGAGGAAAGGAGCCGAGCACGGCGGCCTCGTGGGCCTCATGCTGAACGGTCCCCTGCGCCTCCTCTCTCCCAGCCGAGCTCAGCCGCAGCACCAGACTCAGCACCTTGAGGTGCACTCCTGTCTCTTGGAGGGTGCACCTGGTCTGCAAACATCCACAACTTTGGGCATTTCCTGGAATTGGGAGGGTAGCAAACTGTGGGGGGGGGGGGCTTCCCAACTGCTGGAACCCCCTGGGGCACATGCCGCTACCCACCAATTTTCCTTCCCACCTGCTGCTGAAGTCAGCAGAGATTCAGCAAAAAGGGACCATTTTTTCCCCATGCAAGACAAACTCGCTCTCCCAGGAGGCTGCCCAGGGCACAACCCTGTCCCCTGTGTACTGTGACTCAAAAGGCAATTGTGAGTTTGCCTAATAGTTGTGGCTGCTGCAGCAAGTTTGGTGGAGGGTCGGTGGGCGGGTGCAGCATCGGCGTCTTCTCCAGCTCTTGCTGGGAGCCCTGAGCCTGGCTGGAAGCAAAAGCGAGCGACGATTTGAAAAGGTAGTGAAGAGCCCCAGAGATGCCTTCTAGCCCCGCAGCTGCCATTCCACGGGCAGCCATGGCGTGCCACGGCTGGGCAGAGCCGGTTGTCCCCAAAGTGGAACCCAGCGGCCTCCAGGGGACCGCCTGTCCCTCCAGCCAGGCACACGGGCTGAGCAGAGGCTCAGCTTCCTTGCTTCTCCCAGGGAGGAAGAGGAGGCGGTGGCAAGGTGGGCTCGGGCAAAGCTCGGACCAGTTGCCAGGGCCTCGGGGGAGGTGCGGAACTTGCCGGCAGGCCGTCACCCCGCATGAGCCCGCTTCCTGCAACAGGGTCAATGAACAGCTCGGACGAGCCATGAGAGCGAAATGAGCCTCTGGGAGACACCGTCCACAGAGCCAGCCTCAGGCCTCACCAAGCGGTGGGTCACACACGCCGTGCGGTGCCTTTAGCAAGTTAGTCTGGAACCAAGGACTGTTTTAGCTCTTACGTTGTTTTTAAATGCTGCATTTGGGGAACAGGCATGGTGTTCTATGCTCCTGTTCCTGTTCTGTTGAAAAGCACAGCTAATGGGCAGCACAGAATTAAAACGATGCGGATGAGGAAGGGCACCATCTGGAGAGCCGTGCGGCTTGAGATGGTATATATGTTTGTGAGCCGCCCCGAGGCTTTGTCGCGATGGGGGCGGCATAGAAATGTTTTAAATAAATAAATTAAATAAATAAATAAATAAATAAATAAAAGTGCTCCATAAAAAAAAACAGAAGGTGCAGCTTAATGCTTGTGTTTCTCTCAGCTCTTTCTCGAACCAGGGTGCACGTCTCGCCCACTGTCCCCAGAAGGAATAGACTGGAATAGACTGGGGCAAAGGGAAGGGACCCAGAGCAGCAGTACCTGTAACTTAGCAAAGTAGTACTCGGGTTCGGGGAACCCATCCGCCTTGCACTGCAGCCAAACGTCGTCCCCCTCTTTGATGACCTTCGGAGAATCCAGCTCGAAGCGCACATTCTCCGTGTAGTCTAGGAGCCAGAGACGGGGCAGGAGGAGAGAAGGAAGACCACTTTGCAGCACGCGAGCAAAGCAACGCCACTTCTGCACATTCCCACAATTATTTATTTTATTACCAGAGGCACAGACCACGCCACCTCTGATAAAATAACCCCACGGTGAGCAATCAATAAGGATAATTGCTAATAAGGGTAACTGAAATATGTAATTACAAACTTTAAGATCGGCCGGTGCCAATAAACCTAAGGCTGGTTAGTCAAGGCAGGCTATAAAGAGTAACTCCCAGGTGCAAGCATTCATTCTCTGCGCGCATATATGCGCACACAGGTATTAAGAGAGATAAAGAGCGTGTGCTCGCAGGTTTTTGTACAGGTAAGGAGATATAAAGGAAATCATTATATTTGTATTTGTGTGCATATATGTATTGACGGAGAGGGAGGGAGGGAGAGGGAGGGAGGGAGAGGGAGGGAGGGAGAGACTGCACATTAAAAAATAACAGCTCAAAACATCACCATAAAATGAAACGATCAATACTCAACAAGACACAAGAATAGCAGCAAACACTACATCGAAGTCATCAGCCAGGAATGCAGCAAATTAGAGACCTGGCAAAACAACTGAACCATAATGCAAAATCGATATCTTGGTCCTCGGTCGCAACAGGACACTTGCAGTGGCTCACGAGAGACTTCCTTTTTTTAGCCCAATTAAACACAACAGCAAGACAGATGCAGCAGAACGAAGCTGTGAGGCACGATCTGGCCATGCCACGAAGAGGAGAAGCAGCAGCGGCTGGCAGACAGATCCCCGCGAAAGCATTTATCTGTTCAAGGGCCACACTAATGAGGCCTCCCCGACAGACACACACACTCAGGACGGGACACGGTCCTCCAAAGCAGGGATCACAACCCGGGCCAAAATGTCCAGCCACATTCAGTGTGATTTGGCAGCAAGAAAATCAAGAGCAACCCTCCTGGCCCGACACAGTGCAGCTAAATGCTGAAGAGGTTTCCTATCTTAAATGTTTTCATTTTGGCCATTTGTATTTTTGGTCTCCTAAGCTGATTTCCCAGCATCGTTTACACAGAGATGCACATGAAAGTTTGCGTGTGCATCTTGTGACTCACCCTGGGATGCCGCTGGCTGCAAGAATGATGCACTATATTCAGTGTGGAACGAGGGCTAGAAGATGCTGAGACCGGGCACAGCGGGGCAAATGCCAGGGCTCCGCACGGTGGGCACCAGCCTTCTTTTAATGCTCACCCCCCCCAAAAAAAAATCACAGCCCAGTGCTGCCAAAGGGCACACAGAGCCCGGCAGCTGCAGCCGCTTCTCTGTCCCCAAGGCCTCTCTGGGACCCGCAGCAGAACAGGGCCGGGGCGACGAGGGTCCTGACGATGGTGGTCACGCTTCCCACGCACGGCTGGCCAGGTGGAGGGAGCACGAGGCTGCTGTGTGCATCCCCACTGAGCTTTCGGGGGCCCATCCAGGTGGCACCGAGGGTGGGGGAATGAAGGCAGTTTTGCCTCCACAAGCCTGAGCTTGGCCTCAAACTTAGAAACATAGAAAACAGAGCGAGTCAGAAGGGACCTCCCGGGACATCTAGTCTGACCTCCGGCACCAACTGGCTCCGCTCACGACATGCCCACCATGTGGACGTCCAGCCTATCCTTGAACACCCACACTGATGGGGCCTCAGCGACCTCCCGTGGAAGCCCATTCCACACCCTCGGGGTCCTGACTGTCAGGAAGTGCTTCCTAGCATCCAAACAGAACCTTGGCTCCCTGAGCTTGGCTCCGTTGGAGCGTGTTCTGCCCTCCTCTGCAGGGGAGAACAGGTCTCTACCCATCTCCATGTGACATCCCCTCACATACCTGATAAATCATACAGTTGGAAGGGGATCTTGCAGGCCATTTAGCTGATCCATCTGCTCAACTCAGGACTCCAGTCACCCATCCAGATTTCAACCCAGCCCAGTGCTGCTTAGCTTCCTAGATTGGGCAGGACCAGGCCAATCAGGCTATCGAGAAGTCAACTTACAGTGCACCCGCAGCTTGAACGCCTCGGTCGCAGCACTCTTGACTTTCCCAAGCGGCATCGAGTAGTTGACTTTGCAGTGGAACTTGGAGTCCTTGTCAGCCTTGTTCACGCGCAGGTACAACGTACTGGAGATGGAGAAGAGTCCCGAGGCCTCTTTCACTGTCCGTGACACCACATACAGATCTGGGAAGGAGTACAGACATGTGGAGATGGGGAAGATGGGGGGAGCGAGCCCAGGCGGCGGGGGGGCCAGAAGGAAGGGGAAAGCTCCAGAAAAGGGCTTCGCACAGACACGAGTCACATGATCTTTGGTCATTCCAAAGAGTCAGATCACGCCACCAATGCCATTCAAAATAGGATTTCGCAGCTGCACACTGTTTTGCTGGAATGCATTAGTTTATTTGATTTATATCATGCCTTACACACAAGCACATACACAAGCACACCAGTAACAATAATAAAAACCCACATTTTGCAGTGAAATGGCTTGTTTTGCTGTAAACTGCTCTGAACACTGTGCACAGACATCCTTGAGGAAGTATTTTGCAGAGGTTCTTTAAACAGCCTCCCCTCCAGGGCACCTACAAGGATAGCTGTGGTTTAAATCCTGGGCTAGTTTCTACCTGGGTAGGCAGAATCCCAGTGGTGGACTGGAACCTTAGGCTCGGACTGGGCCGACCCAAAAGGCACTTATGCAACCTCTCGATCATGCAGGAGGGCCTTTTTACACGGCAGCCAGGAATGCGAGACTAAACATGTGGTAGCTCTCAGAGCCTCTAACACAACGTCTCAATCACAGGTGAAGTTTTTCAGAAGCAGCTCGGAATGTATAGAAAACTGATGTTCTCGAAGGCCATAGGCTTGCCTGCTTGCTTTGGCACTCATTGCACAGGAACGTCTTTCTTACCCTTATTCCGCTCGGTGGAGGCATTCAGAAGGCGGTCGTCTTTGTACCAGAAGATGACTGGAACCGGGTTGGCATTTCTGCTGGAGCACGTCGCAATCTGGAGAGGAAGGAAAGGCAGCCTTGAAAACCCTTTCCCACACCTTTTTAAGTGTTCCCCTGTCCGGCTTTCTACCTACTTTCATTACTGTTGTGCCCTCTCAAGCTCACAGGGCAGGACTGTACCATGCTACGAAGAAATGTAAATTTTGCTTGGAGGAGCCCTAGATGCGCACAAGCCTGGCTACCTTCTTCCCATGCACGTGATCATGGAACATCTTCCTCTACAAGCTTCCTCAGAAATTCACCAAAAATTCTTGCCCGCCTGTTCCAAACCATGCTTTAAACAACAAAATAATGCATCCGCGAAAACAGATTCCCAAGCAACAGGGCCCTAATGCCGCATTTGGGGGCTTTTCTGCATGCCCTGTGATACTGCAGGGAAAAAAAGGGGGCTGGATGACATTGTGAGGAGGGCTCCTGGAGCCACACGGGCAAGTCTGCGCCCTGGCGCATGGCAGCCATGCTCCTGGCCACCATCGCCTGCAGCAAAAACACGGGCCATGTGCAGGCGACGTGGGAAAAGGTCCTCTGCGCATGCCAGGGGATGCGAAGTGCCCCGCTGCAAAAGGAGGGACTCCACGCTGGGAGGAACTCCCCACATGTGGAGGGCGCTTTGTCACGGCATCCAAATACGCAAACGCTGGGGAAGCGTTTTTGCCCCGGGGGAACAGCGGGGGATGCAGCTGTGGCAGGGACGGGCCACATGCCCTGCCCGCCACAAGGCCCCTCCCGAGGGGCAAAGTCATAGCTGCCCATTGCAGGGGAAAGCAAACGTGCAGATGGAGAGGAGGCCTCCAGCACCGGCCTCCCCACCCTTCCCTGCTCCTCAAAAGGTCCGTTTCACCCTTGCACGCCCCCCCAGAAACCATCTTCTTCAGAACCAGGAGAGTGGCTGGAAAAGGAATTCCTCTAAGCATGTACAGAGTGCCCCTTCCCACAGCTAATGCCCATCTCCAAGCTTCGGAGGCTAGGAATGAAGCTCTTGAGGCTGACCGGGGTGCTTCTCAAGATACACAGAGGCGCTTATCAAAAAACGGAGGCCAAGCTCTCACCTCTGAGGCGTGCTTCTCAGTCACTGAGAGGGTCCTGGAGTTTTGCGTGAGCTCCGGGAGCTCAGGTGGGTCTGGGGTAAGAGAAGGAAGAGTCAGACAGGCCTGGAGAAAAGGTGGGCCAGGATCAGAGAAACGGGCTCCTTAAGCACAAGCTCTGGCAGCAGGATCTTTCAGCGACATGGTGCTGGATTTCTGGCTCCTCAGCTCTTTGTCTTTGGACCCAACACTACTGGAATTCCAAAACGGAACTTGGCCCTCAGCCTGAAAGGGGCTCAGCACACCAGATCGGAGGGTTAAATAGCAGGGAATTTCTTTCCCCAAGTGCTTTTCCGGGAATCCTTGCGTCTGCCCACGTGATTTACACTTGTCAAGCAAGGGGGCTTTCCCACGATGTCCCCAGAGCTTCAGCATCACCAATCTGGGCTAAAAGATCCAAATATGTGCATTTGCTTTGCATTTGATGCTAAGCAGTAGCAGACCAAGAGCTATCCAGACTAATATCTATATTTTTAAAATCCAAGTAAAGAATCGGCCCTTGGTGGTCCACCAAAGTTGGACGGTGCTTTTTCTTCCTGGTCATGCTCTGCAAAGTAACACCCCACTAGAAGTGGGGGAACGGATGCTCCATTCTGTGCAAATCCATTGTGTATGCATCCAGTCCTAGAGTCCATGACACCAAGGATGCAATCCTACACTCACTCATTCTATTAATTCAGTGGTAAATCCTGGAGAAAATGAGTTTTGCATCTGGCTAAGTGGGCCTAAGATCAGACTGTCAGTCTCCTTGAAATCAATAAAACTGTATTCACAGCCCCGGCTTTCAAACATGGCCCAGAGCCACAAGATTCAATAAGTACATTAATCAGCCACATCTTTAGGCTGACTGTACTGGGGTGGGGAGATAGTGATGTGTGAGTTGGAAAGATAATGGCACATATCTGCTTTTGCAAACACTATTTTGATTTCAGTGTTGTTGTAACAGGGGAGAACATACTGTGAAAGGGCTGTATTTCCCTCTCACTCTCACTGGCTGCTTTTGTTTGCTGGAGTCTAAGTTTGTTTATTTATTTAAAACATTTCTATGCTGCCCCATCCCAACAAAGCCTCGGGGCGGCTCACAAGTTCTCTTTGCTTCCCGAAGTCTCCCAAACTGCTTGTTATATCAAGGTGCTGGTAATGTCAACAGGAACAATTTAATGTTCAAAGGCAAGCTGACCAACACGCAGTTTTGGAAATCAATAGATCACTTGAACGCAGACCGGTCTGTGTCTCTGCTGCAGGAGATGAGAGCACCAATGACTTTTCCCAGCACGGCCACAGAATCAAGGGAAAAAAACTAAGGACTAGAATTGGGAAGATTAATGGGAAGCCCCAGGCAACGTAAAATTAAAAACAAACTCAGCCCAAAATGTAAGCCCTTATCAGTAAAAGCAAGATTTAAAAACAAACAAGAACCAGCAGCCCCGGGTCCCCCCTGTTTTTCCTTTATCAGAGAGCGGGGAAATGACCCGGAGCTTTCCGTTTCAGAGCAAGGAAGGAGTACAGACAAACACAGCTGCTTCTCCCATTTTGTGTTTGCAGCTGTCTTGGTGGAGCCGCTTTGCAGCGTCGAGCACCAACCCGGCCCCTGAAGGCTGAGCTGCCGAGGCCGCCGCCAATGATGCTCGGTGCTGCTGGAGTGGAGGGTTGCCGGGAAGGGAGAGCAGCAGGTGGGGAAACTCACCGTACACCTTGAGCTGGGTCACTCCCATTCCGCTCCCGGACGAGCTCGTCACCTGGCAGGAGAAGGCCCTCTCGTCAGCCACTGCAGCGGCTTGGATGACCAGGCTGTGGTTGGGGTCCATGGAGATGCGACCCGTGTACTCCGTGTCCTGGTCCACCCCCTGCTGACCCTGGTCGCTATAGGCCACCCGTCGCAGCTCCCCGTTCTTGTCCGTCTGGTTTTGTTTTGGGCAGTAGCAGGGAAATAGGGAGGAAGGTTTGGTTAGCGTGGTGGCCAGCAATGGCCCTCCAGGTGTTTTGGCCTGTATTAATCAATCAATCAATCAATCAATCAATCAAAAGCTTTTCTATCCCATCCCCTACAAACGTCTCGGGGCGGCTTACAATAAATTAGTAGAATAAAACAAACCCCACGGTATCTGACCATTAATATACTAAAACCGCAGTTAAAATCAATTAAACATTAAAATAGCAGGAAAATAAAAAGGGCTTTGCCTGACGCTAAGACGAATATAACGTCGGTGCCAGGCGGACCTCTCTGGGGAGCGTCTTCCATAGTCAGGGGGCCACCGCAGAGAAGGCCCTCCTCCAGGTGTTCACTCTCCTAACCTCCTTCAAGGAGGGCTCCCAAAGCAGGACCTCTGCCTCAGACCTCAAGGGGCAGAGGGAGGTATCCCGGACCCAAGCCGACTCGTTTCTCATGAGTCACAGGCAAGGGTGAGGCATGGTGGGAGCTGCAGGCCAAAGCACCTGGAGGACAGCAGGCCGCCCACCTTGGCACAAAAGACTCCCGCTCCCTCGCTCACTGCCACCTCCTTCCCCAGCCCCGCGTACTCACAATGAACCATTCCACCAGAAGGAAGTCATCGCCGCCGGTCACCGTGTGTGTACACAAAATGGGCACCGGGTCCCCAAGGAGAACCTCTGTGACAGCTGGGACAGAGACCTGCACGTCTGCCTGGCATCCTGAGATAAGGAGGGGTGGTAGGGACAGAGAAGGAACGGAGGACTGTCAGGGGGACCCACAGAGCATCCCCTGAAGGTACTGGTCAGCAGCTCATTTTTGCTGGCAGCCGACTTAAGAGGGACCAGGGCAGGTCCCCGCCTGAAGGCCAGCCGGCAAGTCTGGTCACAGCAGGTCCCGCGGCTCCCCTTTTGCCTGCAAGGGGAAGACCTCTGATCTTCTCACAGGGACCAGATGGGTCCCTGGGACCACCGACTGCTGATCCACATCCCAGAGCCATGCTCGTGTGAAAAGCTGCTTTCAGTGCGGTTCCCTCCGTTTTGAGGCAAGCACAGCGTAGTGCTCAGCAGAGGAAAATGGGCTTGCTAAGGGCACAAGCTTCCTGATAGCATCAACAGCTAGAAGGTACATTTGACTGCAACAGAGATTGCACATTTTTAGATGCTGAAGTCATAAATACCTCTGCTCATCGTCATCGCTTGAGCTTACTTCAGGCCTCAGGAAAAAGACTGGCTCAATTGCAAGGATTCCCAAGACGTGAACATGCTGCAAACTCTCGCACCCCTCTCCTCCTAGCACCTGTGCAGCTTCCCTCCCCGTTTCCTGGGTGGCGCATGGCACAGTCTAGGGCACAACCCCATGCATGTTGAAACAGAAGAGAGTCTTTCAACTCCCGGCATGCCTCGGGCAGCCACGCCTCGGATCGTGCCCATACCGCAGCTGTTCTGTTCCCCAAACGAAACAGAGCTAGACCTGACTTTCAGAAGCTGTCCCTGCTTCTCCTTTGGAAGAACAGTGCTAACCTCAGCTTGCTGAGCTGGATGGCATCACTAACTGGGGTTAGTGCTAAACAGGAAACAGGAAAGGGAAGCTGCACTCACAACTCCCCAAACCATGGTTTGAAGGATCATCTTTCCTGAGAGGCGGACCCTTCTCCTCAGAGGGCTGAACCTGAATTTGGTGGTCTCCGCAGGGCCCGTGCCAAGCCCCTGCTGGTGAGTGCCAGGGTGTGGTTTGCAGCAGCCACTTTGGTATTGGGAAGTTGCATCCAAAACTGGGTTAGTTTACAAACATGGCATTGTAACCATGCTTCCCCAGAGTTCGGATGCAACAGGAAATGGTAGTTAGTTAGAGGTGGAAACAGGTGCTTCCTGTCTCCTCCTCTTTCTCACAGCTGCCCCAAAGGCTGAGATGGGAGGGATGAGCTTGGCACTGGAATTTCAGTGTGGGGGCCAAATGCGATTTAGAGATGCTGTCAGCAAGCATATTCCAGGAGGGGGGCAGAGCCAAAGGCACAACAGGGCAGAGCCAAAATGCCAGTTTAAATGTTCCTGCAGTTGGCAATTTAGCTTTAGGAAAGGTGTTTCAAACTTTTAGAAGAAAAAAGCCATGAAACTACCAAAAAAATTGGCAATTGGCAACTCCCTGGGTCTGGAGGGAGCAACAGGATATGCTGCCCAGCAGGTGCATTGGCCTCAAGTTCGACACCCATGACCCACACCTGCAGCTCACCTTCCCAAGGTGTGCTAGAACGCGCCTTCCATTACCTCAGGCTATGCTGTCAGGGCTGATGGGACTTGCGCGTTCCAGGCTGAGGGAAGCTGGGCTACATTATCCTTTATAACTGAGTTCAAAGAGCAAACTTCATGAGAATTCGATGCACACATTTCGGGCACTGGTCTGAACGCTCATTTCAGGACTTTTGAAATAGACATACTTGCCAAAGGAGCAAAATTTGCGAAATCCTTCCGAGGAGAAAGAGCCCGTCTCCCATCTCTGCATAAAAGCTGCACTCTTTCCTCCTTTGCTTGACATGTGAACTTCTCATTCATGCACACAACACACACATACCCTCTTTCGCCTGTCAAATGCTGGACAGTTATTATATGCTTTTGGCCTCACTTAAGGCAATCTTGAATAAAAAATGCGCAGGCGGGTAGGAGGCGGAGGAGCGGGGCAGAGAAATAAAGCAGCGAGTTGGTATTGTGTGGGTGGGAGCGTGACGGGAGGGGGGAAATCCACCATCTGAAAGGCCCAAAGCGGAGCAAGCCAGCAGCTGCTTGGGATTCCAGGCTGGTGCTCCGGGCTTTGTTCCAGGATCAGGGAAGGGGGGGCATGCTTTCATCTCCTGGTCGGGCAGGGGAAACGAGGTGGGGGGGGCTGGCAAGGCTAAGTGCCCAGAAACCGCTCAACGCCAGGGAACCAGCTGGGAACCCCGAGAAAGAAAGAGGAATTGATTCACAGATACTGATGGGCAGACAGGCGGGGTCCTCTCCGCGAAGCATCCCAAACGAGGCGGATTAAGGCATGGCACAGATTGCAGTCCCCCTTTGCCCCCCGCCCCCAGCCAAGACGAGCCCAAAGGCTACCCAGAGTTCGATGCCGTGGCAAGAATACGGCGACGCCTTCTGAAACACACTTGCGGAGAAGGAAGCGACTTAGCCGGACTGCAGAACAAGGCGGTCAGGCACCCTGCCCAGTTACAGGGAGGCGGAAAGATGCTCAGAGGCAAGTGGACCTTTCAGAGCTGAAACGGCTTGGCCGATCCAGCCCTGCCCTGGGATGGATGAGCCAAGAGCTGACCTCAGTTTGAAAATTGCTTAATAAACCAAGGAAAGAACTGGACATTTAAACACTTCAGATTCATTTAAACAAATGATGTAAGCTGCCTTCACCCTTGTAGGAAAAAGGCAGGATATAAATCAAAAAACACATAAAATAAAAAATAAATAAATTCAGGGCAAAGCAAAAATGATCTGTGCAGCCCGGGCCAGGCCTTGGCTTCTTAAAATCCTGGCTTTGCTTCCTGTGTATTCTGACATATTAGGCATGCTGAATGAGGGTTCCCCACCACTGGTGTGTGTGTGTGCACACTGGCCCTGATCCTGGAGGGAGCACAGGGCCATCAGGGGGAAGAGCAGCCACAGAAAGCCTCACTCTTCACGTGTTTGTCCAATCCCACCATCCAAATGGGCGGCCGTCACTACATCTGGCGGAAGTGAGTTTATTTATTTATTTCATTTTATTTAAACCATTTTTATGCCGCCCCATTCGCAAAAAGCCTTGGGGCGGCTTACAACATCAATAAATAAACCCAAATAAACAGCCATATAAGCAGACTTAGAAAACCAGAAACATCTCAGCATGTACATAAAAACCCAATAAATACAATTCATAAATTAACAATTAAAATAACTTTTGAATAAAAAGGTCTTGGCCTGGCGCCGAAAAACAAATAACGACGGCGCCAGGTGGACCTCTCTGGGGAGTTCCACAGTTTAACGAGGCGCTATGTGAAGGACTTTCTTTGGCTTGTTCTGCAGGTCTCCTTTAGTCCCATCCGCTTTGTGGGATGTTCCCAGGTATGATAAGAGACAGCAGAAACCCCCCTCCACTTCCCTGTTCCACACATCCCTCTGGCAAAGTCCACGTCCATGCTGGCTGGGGATGACAGGACTTGCAAACCAACTATCTGGGGATGCCAGACTGGGGGAGGCCGTTTTATATGAATTAAGTTGGAAATAATTTTAGCTGGCGGATTAAGTCAACGGAAGCCAAATTGGGTAGCCTTGTGGAACACCTATCTTTGCTCCCCGGAAGGCTCTCGATTTGCTCCCTGGCAATCAGAAAATCCTGCTTGAAACATCAAGTGCCGCTGCAAGTCAGTAATACTGGGCAAAAAGGACCACAGGTCTGACTCAGCTTCCCTTGTTCCTAAAGATCAAGAAGCGGCCCTGCCCGTCACCCAGGCTAGCTGGACTGAAAAGCTTTCCTATGCCGGTATCAGTTGCACAGAAAGGCGGGCAAGTGTAACTCTAAGCTGAGTGCTTTAACAGAGTCCAGCACTGAGCAGGGATTGGACCCAGTGGGCTTCCAGGCCCCTTCCCACTGGACTGATCTACAGTTCGAGGGTTGCGGGAAAGGACTGCCTGTCCTTCTTGGGAGAAGCCAAGGTTTGGGTGGCAGACAGCTGTGGAAGAGCAAGTCCGGACACACGATTTTCTCCCACAGATTAAAGTGTGCCCCGAGCAACCTAAATCCAGCTACGAAAACATACTGAACTGTCCTGCTTAGCATACCCTGAGCAGAATGGCAGCAAGCTCTTTCCCCCTTCCACCCCACGTGCTCTCCTTTGACGTAAAGTCACTGAACTGAAAGGGCTTCTCACTCAGATCAGCAATACAAGAGACAAACCCTGTGGATCCAGTCTTCACACAAGGACGTAATCACAGTGGTGAAGTTCTTTCCAACACGCACATTCACTCCAATTTGGCTTGGCAAGTAGCAGAGCTGGAGGAAGTGGCAGAGAAAGGAAAACCTTCCAAAATCTCCTGCATTTGTTCGAGTCTTCCTGCTTGCAAACCCAGCTGACAGCATAATACCAAACTCCAAATTTATTATGCATGCAAAACTCAGTTCACTTTTATTGTTTAGAACACATTGTCATGACAATATAATAATCTGGCAAAGTCCCTGGTAGTTTTGAACATTTTCGCTCCGAACCAGGTAATTTAATTATGCTTTGGTGTAATGCCTCAATAAACAAATTAAGGGATGCCACTGGTCAGCAAAGAGGCACTGGAAACCATGGTTTGACGTGGGCTTGCACAAGCACGGGTTGCACTATCAATGGTTTGGTATTTATGTTTGCTGTTCCATCTGCTGAGGCCAGAAACATGGGGGTCATGAAATGTGATGTGCCAAGTTTATGAAAGATTTAGAACAATTTACAAGAAAAACATCTCTAAAACTGATCATTTTTCCCCTCCAGAAGTACTTTGGTTTTTCATAAAAACGGGGAAGGGAGGACAACTGCTGAACCTTTGTGAGCACAATCTCACATATAAGAACTCCAAAAAGCACATTAACGGACACCTCCAGCCTCAGACTGGAAATTACACAAAAGTCTGTCTCAGAAATGTTGCAAAATATCTACCGGCTGGAGTTTCACACCCACCAAGCACATGCTAAATTGTATGCAAATGAGCTTAATTACGCATAAATAACTCTGGCAGGTTAGCTGCCGCCTGCCAGCTTGCAATGCT